AGGCTCCAGCTTCGGTCTACGCTGGGCGTAGTGTGGCTTCGTACGAGACACGCGTCACTTCGCTGCTGGGTCATCGTGGCTTGGTTTCGGACCGCATACGAAATAGTCCGCTGGGCGTAACTTCTTCCGACGCGGGGCGTACTCGGATTACGCTGGGCATTCTTGGATTACGCTGGGCGTAGTCCTCGCACCAGCTGTCACCATCCGAAGCGAGGCGTGGGCAACAAGGAACGGCTGAGATTTGGCCACGTCATCGAGTTCGCATCAGGCTTCGTAAATTCATACTCCGACTTCAAAAAATCGTATCTTTCGCATACAAGCTCCGTTTTCGACGTTCTTTATATCCACGCATAGGCGGGATCGTACTCTACAACTTTCGTTTAGACTTCATCGGCTAATTTTGACTTTATTTTAAAAGTTATATTTTTAACAGGCCGGGACAGGATTGGTCCGTTAAAAATTCATAACTTCTTCATCCGACGTCCGTTTTCGTCTGTCTTTTTATCGTTACGCTACTATTAACGAGATCTTCGATTCTAGTTTAGGTTGTGTCGGCTATAAAGCGCTCGATCTAATTTTCGAACTTCGGGCTGTACACTGCTAAGCTGAAACTTCGAAAAATCATAACTTCCTCATACGAAGTCAGATTTGGGCGTTCTTTTTATGCACGCTCTCGGTTTAACGTTTTCTACGACTTTTGTTTAGATCGCTAAGGCTAAAAGTCGCTCTATCGTAAATTCACTATTTACGTCTCCCGGTGCTGTGTCGGTTCTGTCGCGAAACTTCGACAGGTCATAACTCCTTCGTTATAACTCAGATTTCGGCGTTCTTTATATGTACGGAATCCTTGTAACATATGCTACAACTTTTATTAAGACTATTCATTCTAAATAGCCTTCTATCAAAAAGTCGTTTTCGACACCTATCGTCTCTAAATTGACTAGTCCGGATCTACGGGCGTTACACAAACTATGGCCCATCTCCTCATATGGGCCTTGCCTCAAAGCCCATTAATTATTCTAGTCCATTTGCTTGACCTTGGATGGCCCATTACTAACCCAATCATCAAGGCCCAATACAAAGGCCCAACAATAAACCCAAGTAAAATTAGGGTTTCACATAAAATGACGATTAAGGTTAAGTGTTTCTCACTTAACCCATTAAGGACTTAACCCATTAAGTCCATTACTCTTCTAAATAAATCATATGGTGTGATTGGGCCTAACACACAATTTCCATTCCAATGGCCCAAATGTGGGTCCCAATAGGTCCAAGCCCATAAATTCAATATTAGGGTTTTCTAAACCCTAATTAGGGTTTCCAACCCCATCTTAGCCCAATAGGCCCAATAGCTAGGTCTTTTGATCAATTAGGGTTCATTAGGCCCACTAGTCACATGTTTGGGCTTTTAAGTCAATTAGGGCTTCATTGGGCCCATTAGGGCTTACAAGGCCCATTAGGCTTTTAGTCCCTTGTCCAAACATCCCAAAAGAATCACAATACAAACGAGGCACACCGCCACCCGACGCGGCGGCCGATGGCGGCAGCCACCACCCTACGGTGGTGGTTAGGGTTTCTTTCTCATTATTCCATTTCCAAATACATTTTACAAGGCTAAATCTCAAGTAAACACACACCCACTCACTAAGATAAACACACACATGGCGACACATGGTGGCAGTGGCTTTTCCGTGAATCCCGGCTAACCAAAACACCCAAACACACATATTATGAATGGAAACACAACCACACACACCTAAACACGCACTTGAAGCACAATCACACACCCACACAACTCACAGCCACCAGATGGCACATGGCGGCGACGGCAGAAAGTAGAAGAACTAGCGGCAGGTGGCGATGACTTGCGATGTAACAGTGGAGCAAGGCGGCAGAAACGATATTAGCGTTCACAGCGGTGGCGCCAATGACCGGGAAAGAGCGCTAGCCGCTACAGAATAATGTCCGGCGATGAGATGGTCTCCAACGAGAACGGCAGCGGCGCGACGTCGGAATGTGGAACATCGTCGTGGTATCTCGATGGCGAAGGAGCGGCGGCAACGGGCTCTAACGGACATAGATGGCGGCTGCGACTCGCTTCCCTTCGCTACCGACTGAACAGCAGCATCACATGATGGTCTCCGTCTTCAGCAGCAACATAAAGACACAATGGAGGCTCGGTGGTCGGAGGAGCAAGGGGGATAGGGCGGTGGACGGCGGTGGGAGGCACAAGGGGGGGGGGGGGGGGAAGAAGTGGCGGCTGTAGATCCTTGAGTAGGGTTAGGGTTTAGATGGAGTTATATATCCCGAAAACTTTGAAACTTCACCCCATAATGGCAAGTCTAGTCCCTCTTTATACAATTCTTTTCAGCTATGATCCAAAATTTACCATTTGAACCCTGCCTCCTGAATCCTTTACAATTAAAGTCTGAATTTTACCTTTTTAACCCCAGCCAACCAAAAACCCTTCAACTTAAGTCCTCATAATTACCATGCAACCCCTCCTCTACAATTATTTTCAAATGAGGTCCTTAATTAATTCTTTAGCCCCTGTTTTCGTAAATCCTTTCATACTAGGTCTAATACTTACCAATACCTTGCTATATAATTATAAATTTTAGGGCTACGATCCATTCATTACTTTCGTCTGTTTATTTATTAAATAAACGGGGTGTTACAATTTTCTTTGATTAGTTTCCGATCCTAATTTCTTGGGTTACACAAAACTTAATGCAGATAATATACCAAATACACTTTCAAATTTGGCACGAAATAAAGTTTGACCAAAAACGTTTTTTTGGAAGTTATGAGAAGTTACAACCGTTATCAAGAATTTTTGAAATAGTCATCGGATTATTTGAGTAGGCCAGTAGCCTTGGTTGTTCAACAGGGTAGGCTCCGAGTAGCCTTGGCTACTCAACAGAGTAGGCTACAATCAACCGTAGCCTTGGCTGCTCAACAAAGTAGGCTACAAATCAACAGATTTCGAAGCTCCAACAGACTGGTTTCTCTAGTAGAGTAGTGTGCAGATCAACAGGGTTGCTTAAGTAATGTAACCCTATTGATCTACACACTACTCTACTAGAGAAGCCAGTCTGTTGGAGCTTAGAAATCTGTTGATTTGTAGCCTACTTTGTTGAGCAGCCAAGGCTACGGTTGATTGTAGCCTACTGTGTTGAGTAGCCAAGGCTACTCGGAGCCTACCCTGTTGAACAACCAAGGCTACTGGCCTACTCAAATAATCCGATGACTATTTCAAAAATTCTTGATAACGGTTGTAACTTCTCATAACTTCCAAGAAAACGTTTTTGGTCAAACTTTATTACGTGCCAAATTTGAAAGTGTATTTGGTATATTATTTGCATTAAGTTTTGTGTAACCCAAGCAATTAGGATCGAAAAATAATCAAAGAAAATGTACTCACACGATACATTAGAAAAATTCAGCTTTTGATTATCGTCTGATCTTGTTTTTATACCCAATTTTTAATATTTTATATACTATAAAACACTAGTTGTGAGACCCGTATACAATACGGTTTGATTAAAATAAAATGTTAAATACGAATGATTAAACGGAAAGTTTATATGAATTTGAAATTTGAAATAAGTAAAATTATCAGGAAAAAAAATAAGAAAAAAACATGCAAAAAAATAGATTAAAGTTATTTGTTTAGTTGTCAGATCCGTGTACTAAACGTGTTAATTATAACAAAATCTAAAATACGAAGGTTTAAACTGTAAATTTATTTAAAATTAAAATTGAAGTTTGAAATTTGAAATTTGAAATTAATATGTTTAATTTATAAAAAATAAATTAATGATATATTGAAAAATAAAAAATGAAGTAAATAACAAATGGAAATAAATATCTTAAAATTATGACAAAATGACATGTGGCATAATATATGGGAGAATGACATGTGGCAAAATGATTTTCATTTATTAGGGAGGATGTTATGATATTGATAATCCCTTAAAAAACATATTATACAAAACTCTTTCACCAAATTTTGGTTTAGAAGAATACATTTTATTAATATTATCTCCGATCAAGTTAACACATATACACAATGACTTGTAGTGAATTTATTTTTCCCAAAACAAAATATCACTTATTCCCACAAATTCCTTGAATTTTCTCCTATAACTTTACCATAGTCCCCGCCCAGAACTACACTAGGCCTGTTTTCTTGGGCCCAAAATTAATTCGGCAGCCCTTATTAGCCATTGACAACAAAATGGATACGGCGTCACGGCCATATGGGCGGTTGTGACGTATAGTGGTGCCAGAGACTGCTCTGGAGGTGCTAGTTCTTAAACAACCCTGCTCAAAGTTCCTCGTTTCTAAGGGGCTGTTTGGCTTAGCTTTTCACAGCCCAAAAGTCCTTTTTGGAAAAGTTACAAAAAGTCAGGTTTTCCTGACTTTTCCAAAAAGTTCCTTTTCCTTGTATCAAAACTCCAAAAGTAGCTTTTAAAACTAGTTTTGCCAAACATCTTTTGCTTTTTTTCTTTTCCAAAAAGGACTTTTGGCTGTGAAAAGCTAAGCCAAACACCCCCTAAATCTCATCTCAATCAGGTAATAAACTACTTCGGGAGTTTGTTTGCCTTTTCGTTTTTGTTAATAAGTGATTCGAGAGGATTTCGATGTTAATGATTAATGATATGACCGTGTCTTCTCCTTTAACACCTCTCCAGTGCCACAACCAAAATTTTCTGCTTTATACAATCTTTTTGTCTTTCTGTTTACGTACTTGGGTATAACACTTTTATTGACACTAAAGAGCTTAAAGAGGTTGATCGGTTTCTTGGAGATAGAACTGGTGTGAACGATTTAGACTATTTTCCAAATCAGCTAGAAAGTAAAAAAATTAGAAACTAGTTAAGGAAACTATATACTACTAACCATGGTGCATGTTTGTCCCTTGTTTTTAAGCTTTTGTATCTTATGTAGAAATTCCATATACCAAAGTCTAAAATGTTTTTTTGGCAAATGTAGGAATGGCTAAGACAAGGAGTATGACTAGAAAGCAAAGCCATGGCAATGCATCTAGTAGGAAGAGGATCAAGACTTGTAACCCTGCTTGGTCAGATCTCAACCATGATGTGCTTTTTTTAGTTATGATGCAACTTGGAGTTATTGATTTTGTTGCATTTAGTGGAGTTTGCAACTTATGGAGATTATTTTCAGTCTCTAACAAGAAGGATTTTATGGTGTCCAAACCACCGATGTCCATTTCTATATCTACACTAGGTTTTAAGAAAGGCTGCTACTTAAAGGACTATGAAGGAAGAAAGTTCAAAACCATCCTTCCCCATTGTGGTCGTAGGATGATCTGTGTTGGATTAACTTGTGGTTACTTGATCTTGTTGTGCAAGAAAACCCGTGACTTCTGGCTTGTAAATCCTATCACAAGGCATGAACTTCATTTCCCTGTTGGGGATGTCCCCATTGTCACCTTATGTATTGATTATGACGTTGACAGGGCTATCCTTGTCTTTTCACCTTCAATATCTAGGTGGGTGTTTGTTGTGTTCGATAGATTCGATAGTAAAATATGGTTTTGTATAGATGAAAAACGAGAATGGACTTATGTCTACACCCCTTCCCACATCTATGATATATTTGCTTTCAAGGGAAAGTTATATACCATAAATTATGATAATAGTTTAAATGAAGTGAGACTTTTTCCAACACCCAAAGTGACATTACTTGATCTCACGAATTTCCTAAAGCCAAGCTTTGGTCATCCGATGTTTGTAAGTTCCGGTGAAAATCTTTGTGTGATTGATCGATTTTCTATATATTCGCACAAGGAGAAGAAGATTCAAGAAATAAATTTCAGCAAAATGGAATGGGTGCCACGTGAAAAGAAAAAGAATAATATGCATTTTTTATAGCAAGTTGAATTATGATGTTATTATTCTACCACTAGAGTCGTGGGTTGATCTCTGCTCACAATACAGGAGATATGATTTTACTTTTGGATGTGGAAAAGGGAGGTGCTTTCATGTAAAGATGTGGTATTTCCCTCATGATTGTTTGAAGGTTAATTACATAGATTAGTGATGACTTGTTACCAAGCTCATTTATCATTGTTTTTTATGATGGATGCATATCTTTAAACACTCAAGACTTTTGCAAACCACCATTTTGCTTTAGGTGGGGACATTTATTGCAACTTATATCTTGTTTTATATTCTATTTAAATTTTTCTTGTGCCTAATGTATTATGTCTCACACATTGGCATGATGATCTGTTGTGGATGAAGGACCTTTTGTTGGTCTTCTTGGGTGAATTGAAAATGTTATGAATATTCAAAAGTCACAGATTTGACACAATGATTTTTCTCTCACAACGAGCATATGATAATCATAGGTAGGGTCATCACCAATGGAAGAGCCTCGGACACCCTCAAAAAGGATATGTGGTCCGATCATCCAAAATATTTGCACATGATCTTGATGTTTACTTTCTCATAATATAGTCTTGTGACTCTTGTCTACTAAATAAAAGTATACTAAAAAAGGATATATGTGGTTCAATTATCCTGTAGAACATATGACAAGAAGGATATATGTGGTTCAATAGAGCCTAAAATATATTATCATCTACCCTAAACCAACCTCAGCTGATACCGTGGCATCACAGTTTGGGCACAGTGATAATGATTGTGAATGATACTAGAAAGGAGATTAAACATAATACTTGTAGATGCTAAAATGATCACGATGGTTTTCGTTTGGTTTTATTATAATTCTAGATTTGATTTTTTGATGTTTTTGTTAAACTTGATTACGAGGCAATGGTTGAGATCAAGTAAAAGGAGATGAGTGCAATATGATCATCTAGTTAGTGGTTGCACCGTTAAGTTAAAAACTTCTGAGATTAGAAGTATAAAAAACTATGGGTTTTTTCTATTTTTTTAGGCACTATAATCATCTAGCGTGGATATAAAAAGGGAGGTATTCATCGAATGACCAATTTTTTATAAGTTTTAGAAGAGATTGACCGTTTTTTTCTCAGTTTTTTGAGCAGCAAAATCACTGCTGAGAACTTAGGTGAGGACTCGCAATTTTGGGCTTGGAGGGGTAGTTCAATTCGATGATTTTTGGTCCAGTCCGTGCGTATGGTTATGGTATATGGAAGGAAATAATTTGAATTTTCAGTGGATAATTCGAGTGCCCTTAAAAGTTTACTGTGTTTTTGGCGTTTGCTGTTAAATAGGATTTCGGTGGTTAAAAACCTTGTTGTGCGAAGGGTGAATGTGAGCTCGATTCTTTTCCCCTTTTGCATGAACACTAAGGAAGTGACATATGTTCTTCGATTTTCACTATGCTAGAGCTATTTAGAGCTGGTTCTGCAATGGGTCGAGTTTGCTTCCCTCCTTGTTATGAGTAGGACGGGTCTCATCTCTATTATGGACTCGAGGGTGTTGGACAAGAAGAGATGTAGGTTGTTGTGGACGTTGATTTATTCGGTTTTGAGGCTAATATGGAAGGGGAGAAATAATTTGATTTTTTAAAGCATGAAGTTCAATATGGAATTCAACTTATTTCTTACAACTGGATTAAGCATAGGTCAATGTTTAATACGCTAAACTGGCTTGATAGGTGTTGTTGAGAGTTTGTATCGATCGGATACACTTCAAGTATAAATACAAACTTAATCTAAGAAAATAAAGAACAGAAACTAAATGACACACAGAGTTCTCCAAATTGTTCTTTCACCAAGAAAGGGTTTTGTCTTCACCAAGAAGACGGGTTGTCACAAGGACGATTACGACACCAAGCCGTTTTCACCAATTAGGGTTTACCCTAATTTTGTATATATACTAATCTATACAAGTATATCCCTTAATCAAAGGGATTGCGTCTAATCTATACTCAGTACCCATCTTATCACAAAGATACCAGATATGTGATCTATTATATACTTATCTATATCATTACCTAATATACAAAAGATTACATAAAATACTACGCTATACGCTGACGCTGATAATCTTGATACATTGGTGTCGTCGATGTTGTAGATTTTGATGTTGACATATAGTGTAGAGTGTTTGACTCATCAGATCATAAGGTGTGGCCTTATAATCTCCCCTTATCTGATGTCAAAACTAATGTTCTTCTTCAGAGTAATCGGAAGAACCATTGTAAAACTTGTCAGCTTCTTTCAAGATCTCAGGCTTGACCCATCTGAATTTATCAGTTTTAAGTTCATCCAGTCTTCTACTAAGCTCCAAAGATATCGACACGCGATATCCTCTTTCTAGTTCATAGTGACCAAGTCCTTCCAAGCGAAGATGAAACAAATGTTCAGTGGGAGCAGAAGGAAGATCATCAGTGTGTTGAAAGCACATTTTATTCTGACTGTCAAAATAAAATATCCCATGCTTTAGTTCTGGAATGAACAAATATTGGACTAGTTCAACACCTGCTGGTAATTTATTGCTGATATACTGAGTTCCATAAGGAAGAAGAAACTTGGTATTCTTGGACTGTCTGGGAGCACCTGTTCTTCTTGAGGATGACGGTATAGATGGACCAGCTGATGGTACAAGGTTCAACTTCTTGAATTTGTTGAGAAGCTGCTGAATTGCCAACTTCACTTCCTGAGCATGATACCCTTGTGTTTGTTGATAATTTATTGAATTTCCATCCACTTGTTGTAGCCAAATTTGACTAGCTCACGAGCATAAACAACTTCAGTGTATTCATATTGTATCTTACTTCTAACCAAGTGAAGCTTCATGGACTCATTTCTTGTTTTGGTGCATCTCACTTTGACAATGGGATCAGGATTTCACATGCGAGTAAGAACATCTCCAAACTTCTTCCTATCAATCCGTCCATTCAGGTCTGAAACAATGTGTTTGTTTCTCCACATTATTATTGAAGATTTTCTTGACCTGATTATCAGTGCTTTGAACATTAGCACTCTCGTCAACGGAAGCAAGAGCTTAAACAAGTTTGGAAGACAGACGTTCTTCTTTTCCTGCTTGTTTCTTTTGTCGAATAACAACATTATATTCAAACATGATTTCTCTAACTTCCTCAATGGGTAACCTCAATGTTTCTGCTAATTCATTTAGATCAAAGATGAGTTTGCTATTTCTTTTTAGGAGGAGATGTTGAAGGATCACCACCAGCAGCAGCAGCAGAAGAGCTTCCAGCTTCAGGGTCATGAACTCCCCTCCTGAGAAGGAAGCCTTCCTCTTTCGAGAATTGAGTTGATCATTGTCAGATTCAATGTCACTATCAGTTCCTTAAGGAACATCTTGAGAAATCTCTCCATCAAAGTAAGATCCATGGTAGACAACATTTAAGGGAACAACAGGAACAACAGCTTGTGGCATGAAACCAAAATCAAGAAACCCTTCAAAGTCATCGATCTCTGATTGGTCACCAGTGTCTGTAATGGACTGATCAGTTGTAGCAGCATCAGCATCTGGAATATCAGCTTCAGCTTCAACCCTTCCAGTCATCTCGGTCTGAGATGGAGTTGGTATAATCATCACCTACATTTGCATTGGCTGAGGATCCACTTGATTGTTCTCCTCCTTTTTGGCAGCATCAGATTGGGGAGGAGAGTTAGGAGGAGGTGAAGGAGTTCTTGGAGGAGGATGAGATGGTGGAGGAATATTTATTGATGAAGGTGTAAAGTGGAGGAGTACTATCACCTGGAGAGTTTGGTGGAGTGTCATCAACAACCATATCATCATCATCATCGCATAAAGCCATAAGTCGCTTCATTGCAGCCACATCTCTTTCAACTTTACTCAATCTTTTTTCCAGTGATTGAGTAATCTGTACAATTAGAGAAAGTTGGGAAAGCATAATAGTTTGAAAGTTATTGATGGATTCTTCCTGATTATCCTGATGAAATGCCGCATTCATGATAGGAGTTGGCGTAGAAGGAACAGTCTCAGCTTGAGGAGAAGGAGGTGCTGACTTATCTTGGATCATTGGTTCAATAGTTCCCATATCACCGACTGATTCTTCTTCATTTTTATTAATGTGTTCTTCCTCATCAACCCCTTCTTTATTACCAGCTTCTAGATCATCATCATTCTCATCATTCTCTTCTTCATTACCAGCATCATCATTATCATCATCATCCTCTTCAGAGTCTGAGGATTCAACCACATAGGGTTTTTCAATCCACTTTTGCATCCTCGTAGTAATAGGCAAGTCACCTTGAGATGGAGCAACATTAATAATCTTTGAGGAAAGGGCAAGAATTGGAATGACAATCCCATGACTTTTAACATATCCTTCATCTTGAGACAAGATCAGACCAAGCCAATGAGGAGAAGGAACATTCAATGGCTTCTTGTTCCCAATAATGCAGTCAACCATTTGATCAAGAAAAAGTTGAGCTAAATCCAGTCTTTTGTTGTAAACAATAGAGTATAAGATCCTTTGCTCAGATAGATTCAACTGATCCAAACTTCCAGTCTTATGACCTAGACATTTTCCAATCACACCTGTTAAGTACTTCCATCCTACATTAAAACATTGACGAAGAGTGTTCTTGTATGGATCACGAGTGAGGCCCTGAAGTTTGAAATTATACCCTAATTTTTCTCAAACATATTTGCAACTTTCTTCGGAAGGAGTTTTAGAGTAACTTTCAAATTGATGAAGACGAAGAGCGGTTCGAAGGGATTCCACATCAATAGTAACCCTATATTGACCATCTCCAATGGTTCCAGTGATGGTTTGAGTAACAATGTCAACAGAGCATGTATAGTAAAACTCACATACTTGTTTAGGGTAGAAAGGGTCCGGGAAGTCCCAGAATGCATATCGAAGAGGACCGCTCTTGACATAGTTGACAAAATCTTTAATTCCTGAGTTCGCGAACTACTTTGGAATTTCATCCGAGAACGCC